AATTACTCAGCTGAAATCATTCGTCACCACGTGCATCGCACGTGCACTTTACTAGTGTTTTGAAATGTTCATTTGGAGAATTGTGAGAGGCATTTCCAGTTCTTAGACTTGTACAACTATGTATGGTTAAGGGGTTGATAATGAATCCATTAAAATTGGTTGGGTGATCCTCACAATTCAATGGATTTCAAATGTTCATATCAATCTTTGATGGTTCTAAAACCGCTATATGCCAATGTTTCATGCCATAGTATCTAGAGTTGATATCCAAGAAAATATATAAAAGATTGTTTTTATGTTACAAAAAGTTGTCAAGGTACACGAGAATTCTATGGACCGAAGTGTTCAGTTCTTAGCGAAGAAATCAAAATAGAACAACAAATTATAACGTTAAGCGAAAAGATTAAAATCGATGCGAGAATATTCTCTTTCTGCAATACAAATATGCATCTTATAGTGCTAATGGGTCTATGCATCTTGCCCCCAAAGATACAATGACAAACGACTCGTAAGCTGTAGCACACTAGACTTTGAACCTCCTGCGAACTAAGACAGAGTCGAGAACTGAGCACTATGTATGATGTGTGAGCTTTCAATAAAGTGTAAGGATGCATATATATTATGTATCTTTGCTACAACCTAAGAACCCGTATTTATAGAGTTCCAACTTATGTGTGGAAAACCATGAGCTACATGCTACTTAAAACTGTGAACAACCCAATGGTCGTTGTTGTAAAGGTTATCAAACCTGTTAGACCGTTTTTAGGTGTTAACGCATCTCTACTCCAACTGATAAACTCCTAGGACTGTCAAGTGGTGTCAACATGTCTAGATGCATTGTATCTGAAATTCCACACGACTTGGGTTAAAACCTGTATACAATTCGAACTCGATTTGGAGTTTATTTTGGTCCACAATTTTACAAATAAAGTGGTTGGTCCCAAACTCAACGCTGGTCTAGACCGTCCAAGGCCACCGACGTCCAACCCACAGTCCAGTTGACATGGTCCAAGGCCCAAGATCTAAGGCCAAGGCTCATGACGAAATTATGTCACAAAATCTAAATTTTCTCGTAAAAAAAGGTGATTGCATGTAGAGATGAACTCACTGATGATTAAAATAAATAAAATAATTGTTATGCGTGTAACTGAAAAAGGAAAAAAAAAA